CTCCCCCCCCTGCCTCTCTTCCCCCCTTTCCCCCCATCCCCTCCCTCCCCCTCTTTACCCCCAGCCCTCCCAGTCCCTCCAGCTCCCCTCCCCCCCATCCTCCCCAGCCCCAACTTCCCTCCCAGCTCCTCCTGCTCCTGAGCCCTCACAGGCCCAACAGCTACCCCCCCACTCCTGCCCAGGCCAGGACTAGGTCTAGCTCCACCCGATCCGAGGGCCGTGGCGATGCCAGGACACAGGAAGGTGGCAGGAACCTGCAATCAGGGAAGCAGAGGCCTACTTGAGCCCTCCCTGTCAAAAAGTCATGCAGTCTAGACGTAGTCTTAGACAAATTCTGTTGTGGGGAGAGAAGTAAATGCAGGTAACTAAACAATTTCTAAATGTAACATTTGTGAAATATCTTTCTGCTAAGCTGTGACCATTTTTCAAAAATGAAAATTTTTTCCAGATTTTGTTTTCAAACTTTCTAGTTTTTGATGAAACCCAAGAAGGATATATATATACCATATATATATGGTTTTCCCTTTTCCTCTTCCTCTTTTCTCCTCTTTCCCCTCCTCCATTGTTTGGAGAGAGAACTGGAAAAAAAAAGGAAAAAAGATGAGACAAAAAGGAATCTAGAAAAAAACAAGAGAAAGAGGGGTGGGAAATTGAGAAAGGAAAACCTGAACATTTGGTGGTTAAAATGTGTGATTAAAATGTTCTCAAAAATATCCCAAAACCTGCAGAACAAACATTTTTCTGGATTTTTAGAGAAAAATCTTCTACAAATGTTTCACTCTGCTGTATTTATTTGTATAGATAAGAAGCAGGAAGGTGAGGACTTGACAAAGGAGGAAATGCTGCGATGTAAGAAGGGAGAGGCAAGGAGATAGGTGTGGGGAAAAGCGTGGGTTGAAATATGACAGGAACACGAAGGCATGCAAAGGTTGGTGAGCTACATTGGGAACGGTAATCGTAGCATGAGCCAGTGACTGATGAGAGCTGAGTAAAAGCTCAGTTATTTGGCACTCAATGAACCAGAAGGCTGAATTAACCAGCATTTCTGATATCTCCCAATGCAAATCTTCAGTATAGTAACAGAGACCAGTATACTTCCCTGCACATTACACAATTACATAACTTGCACTCTGCTTTCATGCAAAAGAGGTAAAAAAACTAAAATCTGGGACTTATTCAAAAAAGCAGCTTCCAAGGTGTATCATAGGGTCACTACAGATTCAGCCCAACCTGATAAACTTTCTACATCTACAATGATGACTGACATTGCTAATGATGACCCTGAGTCACTGCAAGATCCTGAAGTGCCTTCTGAATCATCAAAGAAAGATTAGATAATGTCCAGTGTATAGTTTTAGTGTTAAGTGTATTTTAAGTGATCTGTGTGTGGCCTAAAGTGATATGCAGTGTGATAACCTGCTGTATAGAAAACTTTACCTGTACACACCTAAGTGCTTCAAGACACCAGCCACTCTACAGTGCAGTACTACTGCTGGACTGGTGAGTACCTGTACATTATTTTATACTTCATTCATGTTATTGTACTTTAATTTGGTGAAAATTGGTATTCCATTGGTAAAGGATATCTCTGAGTTAACCAGAATATTCACTTAACCAACACTCCCATTTCCCCAACATGCTGGATATAATGAACCCTGTGCAAACAGGCAGAGTCAAGAGTTTTAGGCCAGTGTTTTTCAACCAGTCATACGAGTATCCTCAGGGATACTTGAGAGAAGTCTGGGGGAGTACGTCAACACAACTGAAATTTGGAGAAAACTGAATTTTTGTTTTAAGTTTTGCAGTGCTTTAGTATTTTTGTACTTTTTACACCCAAACATTTTGCCCTTCCCAGCTACAATTAAGTTGTTTAAACAAATGTGTTGCAATGGTAGAAAAAATGTGTATCTGAAAACTGTAGAAACTGAGGGTATTTATCTTTTTTTAAAAGGGGTACTTTATTAAAAAAAGGTTGAGAAACACTGTTTTAGGCCATGGGTATTTTGACAAATATGTTTGGATAAAGCAAATGAAACTGGTAGATTGAAACATATTTTCCCTATTAGCATGCTGATGTGCAGAGAACTGCTTCTTTCTTAAACCAATTCTCAGCATTTGCAATGACAAGTGCAGAAGGAATTGCCTTGAGGTTAATTGGAAGAACTGGGTGTGAAACTTTCACATCTG